GTGTGTGTGTGTGTGTGTGTTTAAGTGTGTATGTGTGTTTGTGTATGTGTTTGTGTGTGAGTGTGTGTGTGTGTTTATGTGTGTGTTCGTTTGTTTGTGTGTGTTTGTCCGCGCGCGCGTGTGTGTTTCTTTTTCTGCCTGTGTGTGTATGTTTGTGTGTGTTTGTGTGTATGTATGTTTGTCAGCGTGTGTTTGCTGGTGACCATGTTTCATTGTAAAAGTAAAAATAAAGATTGACACATTTTTTGGTCAATGAGACACACAGGTCGAGTTACCGTATGCTGGCCACAGACATCGTCTGAGGACGTCGGTACAAGGTCATGGATAACTAGAACGTAACTAGCAGTCTTGTTTGTTCAACATTGATGATATCAAAGAATTTATAAGCAGTGCACCTCTTTGAATGATATAGATCTAGATCAAAATCATTTTTTAAAAACATTTTTAAAAAAAGAAGTTTTTTTGTTTTTTAAAAACAGACTATTAATGAATACTTGCGGGAATGCTGTGGAGATATCCCTATTTTTTAAAACGTTTTAATGTGTGTGTGTGTGTGTGTGTGTGTGTGTGTGTGTGTGTGTGTGTGTGTGTGGGAGGGTGTGTGTGTGTGTGTGTGTGTGTATGTGGGTGTAAAATATCCGATTTGACATAAATACACGTAGCAAACATGACGGAATTTCCATGCAGATGTGTTGCAAAACGAAGTTGATTGATGACGAAGAAACTTGCATTGCGAAAATGTCTGAGCACGTTATATGACAAAAAGTCTATCAAATAACCTCTTTGCTATCAATTTAAATGAAAAGAAGTAAGCTTTACTTATCCACTTAAATATAATTGAGTTGAATAATTCAGTTAGAAAGTAATATATTTTGTCTAGAACGTTAGCATTTACACTCATCTATTTTTCACAGAGGTTCTGGTGTCAAAAACAACATTGAATCATGGTTTGATATTTTTCCTGTTCTCAGCTTTTAGCAAAATCTGGCAACTCCCTTGTTTACTAGAAGCAGAAGTGAGTGCGTCCGGTGCGTCGTGCTTCCGTTTCTTCCAATCTTCCTTTTGGTTTCAGTTACTACTGACGCTGAGAGATATTTCTCATTTAAGATGCCAATTTCTAATTCAGAAGTTGACATAAACCCGGATATATTTTTTGTGAGTTGTTATTAGCATATCTTAGTCTTTTCACTTTTCATTTCAATTTCAATAATTTCAAAGAGTTTTTATTCTGGTAAGCCGACTGTGGTGACCGGGTGTTTTCTTGCCTTCTCACCACTCTCTGCTGAAGACACTGAAGTGACTAGTCACTAGAGTACTAGAGTACTGTCTGGGCAAATCGCCCGTAACCCATTTTGGCCCTCTTGAGTCTCCTGTCTTTTGGCAGCCCAAGTAAGCCACAGTTACTGAACCGCCACACATTCTTCTTCCCTTACAAGAGTGCATTTCTCATACTAGAATCTATGCCAGATTTCTTTCCAGTTGATAGCCAGAACTAGAATCTAGATCTAGATCTAGATTCTAGATACTAATCTAGATATCTAGATCTAGATTAGATCTATTTTCTAAGTTGTTTGGGTTATATCCGCCCAGGGTCTGGGCTAGATCTATATGCCCACACCGGTCCACGCAGACCGCCCCCCTAGTCTGGGCTACCCGCCCACACCACTGTATCCAGACAGTGTGTGCATTCCGCCCACCAAGAATATTAGATCTAGAGTAATCGTACCGGTTCGGGCAGCACGTTTTTTTTTTGCTGTCGGGCACTGGAGTACAAAAAGATCGTTTAAAACTTTGTTTTCAAATCTAGCCCCAAAACAGTGGCACACAAACCTAAAGCAACCTCCCTTACGCCTTACTTTCGTTGAAACAACAGTTACGGCGATATTTTGCTAAAAATAGTCCTTAACTCATTCGCTACGTATTATTTTAGGCTTGTAGACGAATTTTTTGAGGGAGGGCGAAATGAGATGATGACTAGTGCGCGGTTCACAGGTCTTGGGGGCCATAAATTCAAATAAATATCAACATATTATTATATATATAAATACCAACATTTTCAGTATGGTTTGTAGAATACATCTGTATTGTTTATTTGAGTATTTTTCAACTTTGGTTCCTGTAAGAGGCGATTATGCAACACAATTGTGATTGGCTGCGGATAAAATTTGAAAACAAAAAATTTATAATCTCAGATGAAACTCAAAAAATATGTTTGCACCTAATCTAGATCTAGATCTAGATCTAGTCAAATTATACATCAAAATAACCATAACTGTATATAGAACAGGAAAATATTGAAAAATGAGCAGTTATTTACATACATTCCATAATATTTGTACATTTGGATCATAACCTCCGATATTGAAAAAAAATAAATGTTTAAATAATTTTGAAAAAAGGATCCCAAACAGAAAGAAACACTCGTATCTTATATGGAATTATTCAGAATTGCATTTGGAATAAGCCTATACATGTCTTGGATGGTACTTTTTGAGTACATTCACCAAAAAGTAGTGATTTTGGGGAGAAAAAAAATATTTTGACTATTTAGATCTAGGCCTAGATCTAGCACTCAAAAATATTGATTTCTCAATTACAGTGCACTGGCAATTTGAGTCCAATAGTATCAATATTATAAGAAGAGTCCTACACTTCTTTAGTGAGCAAAATAATGATACATTTTGTTGTGTAAAAGTACAAAGACTGGTGTCTGGCTATAATTTGGGCTTCGCGATAAAACAATGTCGCATAAACTTCGAAATCCTGTTTCAAAACTGAATCAAAACTTCCGATTTTCGGTGGAAACACTTGACCCGGAAGTCAACTTTATATTATGACCTTTATTTTAACATGGATTTGTGGATTGGAATAGAAACCAAGCTAAAATTGAACGTCAGTTCTCGAGCCGCCGGGGGCGGCTTAGCGTACTGATATATATATATATATATAGATAGATAGATAGATCTAGAATCTATTATACCCAGGAGAGCTGAAATTCCCCACTTTAAATCATGTTTTTATGTTCAAGGGGGCAAGTTAGCAATGCCAATTGAGCTTACTTGACGAAATTTAGGTCACTGCTTGGGGGCATATTTTTGGACAGGATCGGAACCTAGGAAACTAACTTTCTGACCTCAAGATGGGAAGAGATCTAATCTTTCCTTCATATATCATAGTTTCCTCAAATTTGAAAGTTTTTTGTCAAGTAGTTGTATACACCACTACCCCTCTGTCCTAAGCGACTTCACACAGAGACCTGTCATTTTTCTGTACTCCCTCGGCAAATGTATGTGACCTACAAATCCCCGTATGATTATTCCGAATCCGTTCATTGGTTAGTTTAAATAGGGCATGGGCAGCGTGCGCATCCGGTTGTTTTTCCTCTCTGCTCCCCTGTTCCATCGTCATTGGGGTGTTGGAGTATCGCTCTCAGCGGGGAAAAAAGTTTACTAGTACGGCCTGTTATTCAAAAATTGAACAAATATTTTATGGTTAGCATGGTCTAAAGTCATCAAAGAAAGTTTTGTCATTATTTAGTCATGCTGCTAAGATACATTCTTAAAGATCCCATGATGTGATAGGATGTATAAATGAAATGTTCTCATCCAGACACCTTTCTCTCTCCAAATAGTAATATATGTACACTAGAATGTTAAATGTTCTCATCCAGACACCTCTCTCTCTCCAAATAGTAATATATGTACACTAGAATGTTAAATGTTCTCATCCAGACACCTCTCTCTCTCCAAATAGTAATATATGTACACTAGAATGTTAAATGTTCTCATCCAGACACCCCTCTCTCTCCAGTAATATGTGTACACTAGAATGTTAAATGTTCTCATCCAGACACCTCTCTCTCCAAATAGTAATATATGTACACTAGAATGTTAAATGTTCTCATCCAGACACCCCTCTCTCTCCAAATAGTAATATGTGTACACTAGAATGTTAAATGTTCTCATCCAGACACCCCTCTCTCTCCAAATAGTAATATATGTACACTAGAATGTTAAATGTTCTCATCCAGACACCCCTCTCTCTCCAAATAGTAATATATGTACACTAGAATGTTAAATGTTCTCATCCAGACACCCCTCTCTCTCCAAATAGTAATATATGTACACTAGAATGTTAAATGTTCTCATCCAGACACCCCTCTCTCTCCAATTAGTAATATATGTACACTAGAATGTTAAATGTTCTCATCCAGACACCTCTCTCTCTCTCCAAATAGTAATATATGTACACTAGAATGTTAATGACAACAAAATAGCGACAAAATGGTCAGTAAATCTGACAATAGAAATGATTTCTTCACCCAAAAGCAAAGTGAGTTGTTGTCAAGTTTCTTTCAAACGCTCCAAGGAATGACTGATGAGATGTCGGCGATTATCTTTCAGAATCTGTTACCTAGTTCACTTTTACTTTTGGAGAATATTTTCCTACATAGCTAATCCATGTTTTGCTGCACTTAACAACTCTATACAAATTTTTATATATTTTTATACATTATATTCTTTGAATAAAAAAAAAGCCTGACAAGCCCAAGCTTAGAATAGAAAACCCTGTCTTAGGTACCCAGTGAAAAAGGGCTCTTGAAAGCAAAAAGTCCGTTTTTCATTGGCATTGCTGGCAAGCCCCCTGAGTTGTATAAAAACATCAGTTCAACAGTCAAGGGAAGATGGGTCCAACACACTGTCCAACTTCTGGTCATCCAGCATATAGGGGAGGGGAGGGCAAGTGAAAAACAAGATGAATCCAGTTTTTTTGCAAAAGATTGGGGTACTAGCCTTAATGCAACAGTCTGTAGAATATCTTTGTGATATCAATCTAGTGGAAAACTAAGTCATTCACAAACTATTTTCATCAAATGAAATTTTTTGTGTAAGTTGCGATAGGAATCACAAAATACAAGAATGCAATAATCCAGTTCTATTGGATGGGAGCACTAGTACATATGCTTTGCCAGGTGTGTTTTATTTTATTGACTTTCTATTTGCAAAATTATAATTTTTTCACTGCAGGAAGAGGAAGACCTACCTTATGAGGAGGACATTCTGAGAAATCCTTACAATGTAAGATGCTGGCTTCGCTACATTGAGCACAAAAAGGATGCCGCCAAAGAGATTCTCAATACAGTCTATGAGAGGGCTTTGAAACAGCTTCCAGGAAGGTAATTCCAACCAGAATCTATTTTTTGTTTTTGTTGCTTTTCGTTGTTCAATCTTGGGCAGGCCCCCGTTATGGCTTGAGCATAGTTGCCTGTAATCTATTCATGATAACTTAATGAGATGAAACAAGTGGAGTAGCAGGAAGCTGGAACTGGCCATGGAGGGAGATGTTGATGAATCCTGATTCCAGTTTCAATCCTGCATCTTTGCCAGTCAGTCGAGTACTGAGTAAGGTTTGCGGTGTGGGGTTTTATGCCTACAATACTCTCAGCTTTCAATCCTTGTTCTTAGCATGAGCAGAGCTGCCAGAAATTATTTGAATGTATTAGTGTAGAGAGTCAGTGGAGTTTTCTGTTTGAATGTATTAGTGTAGAGAGTCAGTGGAGTTTTCTGTGCCAGGTAGCTGGTAGTTGGTTCTGAATGATAAACTGACAGTTGGTTCTGAGTGGTAAACTGACAGTTGGTTCTGAGCGGTAGACTGATAGTTGGTTCTGAGTGGTAAACTGACAGTTGGTTCTGAGTGGTAAACTGACAGTTGGTTCTGAGCGGTAGACTGATAGTTGGTTCTGAGTGGTAAACTGACAGTTGGTTCTGAGTGGTAAACTGACGGTTGGTTCTGAGTGGTAAACTGT